AAGTCTGTGACATGAACATTCTCAGTGAATGAAGAGAGCGCCTCACTTACTTCACATGCTGAGCTGCCTGTAATATAATCAATAAAAAGTGTTCTTTTATTTTTTGCCAAGCAGCTTAAGTCAGTTGCAGATGGAAATTGACTGAAAACCGAAGATGAACTTCTTTACTGAGTGTGATACATTAGGAATCATAACCAGCCACAAAGACTGATAATCTTTGACAAACTGTGAACCATTTATTAATATATTGGCTAAACCTCTGTGACCGATTTAGTCATCAAAGCTCCACCAGAATAAAATAATTTGCCAATGACACAGTTTTAAAAAGTTACATTTCTGACTTGCCAGGATGAGGGTGACGGAAAAACAACTGCCAGCAACTGTGAGTTGTTTGTTATTAATGTTGTCCTGAGGGAATGCTTTGTAGACTAGAGCATGCAAGCCTGTTTCCTGCCACTAATAGCCAGAAGCTTGAGCTGGTAGATTGTAGAATTAGTAGGCACAGGCTGGGAAAATCGTAAAATACAAGAGCAGGAACACAAATTATACATTTTTAGATACATGTATCATTCTTAATATTAACACATGGTCTGAAGCATAGGGGGGAGGCAACCCCCCGCATACACTCACACTCTACCCAAATGGCGCCCTGGCTGATTGAAACAGTAAAAGTCATGACAACTATCTTGCCTAAATAGCAAACGTTTGGGAGTTGTTTTACCAATTTTTATTAATAAGTGATGCCTGTACCTCAGCATTCTTGCGCTTGTAGAGGTTGTTCTCTTTTGTTTAATTCCAGGGGGTGACTGACTGGTTTTGTGTGTGTGTGCGCGTGTAGAACCCATAGAATCTGACTGAGAATGGAACCTACAGGACAGTCTCTCAGTCATCTAAAACAACACCAGGCTAAATGACCTTGCTGTCTATGCATGCAGTTCATGGGTTGGGAGACGTGTGTTTAAATCCTGAGAAATTGTTATTTTCACCTCCATTTTTGTTCGTTGGAAAAACGTAATAAGCTGTGCTGTTCTCAGCTGTGTTGGAATGTCTCATGTAACTATGTTGGGGGAGAAAAAGATTGGTTATTATCATGTGTCTATAATTTGGGCAGTCTTCCTTAATTAGCATCAGAGCTGTAGTTTAATCCAAGAGTGATTAGATGCTCCTTTGTATCCGCCATTTGGCTGCAATATAAATATCAGGTGGCATTGGGATTGATAATGCCCTGTCATTTTGAGGTTGATAGCTAAAAAAGGTTTGACTCCTCCTACATTATTAGATATAGCTAATATGGAATTGTTGTTTCATTTGATATGTTTTAACCAACCCGCTAATTAGACTGGTTTGATATTAACTCACTCTGTCTTCATTTGATTTATGTCTTTGATTTTATGTTTTTTGTTTAGTTATAAATTATATACAATTGGAAGCCCATGTGGATTGATATTTCTTAACCAGACATCAGGCTCTACAACTGCAAGAACCCTGGGACAGATAACAGAGATAACTTTATAAGACACCTCCTGGTGGTCCATAGAATCTGCCTCCTTCAGTCCTCCCAACAAACCAGAGACAGTGAAGAAAATCATACAGCAGAAAAACATTTTAAAAGTAAAAGCCTTGACTCAGCCAAGTGAAAGTCAAATGGCCAAATGAACGAACACGAAAGGAGAGCAGCATTGTCAAAGCTAGTAATCCTAGATGCCATTAAATATTTAGAATGATCTATTTCTCTCTAGCTCCTGCTTGGGAAGTTTAATAGCTTCCTGCAAATTTGGCACTCTCAATTAACGGGCTAAATATCCTTCTTCAAACAAGTTTGAAGCAAAGAAACCATTCTGGAATAAGAGTTTGGGTTTTTAATTATCAACAGGATTAGATATGGCAGGTATAGTCAGTGCTTATCAGCAAGGCTGGGGAAGAGGAGTATGCTCTCTGAGTGGAATTGCCATTACCTTGCTCATGGGAGCAGTCCTATTTACTTCAAATGGGACAGCTTCCATATGGAAGGGGAATGTAATTTGGCTTTGAATAAATAGAGGCCTACTTAGAAAACCACCTGCAGGTGTGAATGCCTGATTCCATGCCCTTGTGGTGGGAGACAGGGGCTCAGGACCCTGCCCTCAGTGCTTAATTTGTGCCGGGGCTTGTCAGGGCTGAGCCCCGGCGCCTTTGGGCTTACTGCGTCAGTTATGAAAGTAAAAAAATTGCCGGACCCCAGCACCTAATCGCTTGAGCTCTGGCACCTCTTTGGTTACAAATTAAGCACTGCCTGCCCTCATCACCACTGAATACACAAGATCTATTCATCACCTTTAAAGAGAGCCAGAGTCTTGTCTTTTAATCTTAGAAGCATAAGGGTTATTTCAAATACAATGTGACTCTAGAGAAAACAAATAAATATTCATGTTCCCTACATAGCATAGCTACAGTATTGAGTCATGGATGACTTTTTATTAGTCTCCGCTTGTTAAAATTCATTCTTGAAGCAATAGGAACCTGGTTTCTGGGGGCACAAAATGAACCTGGCCCAGTATTTTTTAAAATGGGGGGAGAGGGGGATTTTGGGGTCAGCAAAGCACTAAAGCAGGTGATTAAAATTAAGTATATGCTTAAGATCCACCGCAGGGACTAAAGTCAATAGGACTTAAGCACATACTTAAAGTGCTTTACTGAAGAAGAATAGTTTTCCTCATGTGCTTAAAGTTAAGCAGATGCTTAAGTGCTTTGCTAATCAGGGCATATAACATCTAATGTACTCATCATTAAACGCAGTCCTGGGTTTTGTTTAAAGTTTGATCCACCTTGCAGTGGAACTACTGGTAAATCCAAACGAGATCAATCTGCGATGGAAAGGCAGTGCTTGATCCCAAGGCTCATCTCTGGGAACTCCCGTTGCCATCAGCAAATCACTGGACTCCAATCCTTCCTGGAGTTCCCATAGATGTTCGAGTCACTGAAGTCAATGGAAGTCCCATGGGCAAGATGGCTACAGGAGCAGACAGAGAGCGCAAACACAGGTGCTCATTACATTCACTGCAACTAAAACCTGAAGATACAGCAAATCAAATCCACTTTAAAGGGATATTATGGACTGATCTCACTTCTTTCAGTTTGGGACAGTAGCTGCACTTTGCAACACTAGTGAGACAGATACAAAGCTCCAAACTAAGGATTATACTTTGTAAGAGAAAATATGTACTAGAAAAGAACCCCACAATGCTTTTTACTATATTACTTTTATGGTCCAGAAGGACTCTCTCCCTTAGACCTGGAGGCACTGGGACATATTCTCACATAGATGACAATCTCTTTGCACAGCTCTTGGGCTCAAAGGGACCATAAAGTTGGCTTTACCAACTACCTGGAGGGGGGAACACATGCAGAGCACCTCTGGAAGTATTAGGTAATATAAACTTATCTCCATGGTCCAGCTCTCCCCAGCCACTAGATCATAGTCTGCTGGGTGCAGTTTAGAGCAATCCCAAGGCTATTCTTGCTTATAATGGGAGCCAAACCAGCCCCAGAATTAGCTTTATGCCATTTTTGTAGCTCCCTATCTTGAGTCTGCCTTAAATCCTATGCCAAACACAGTTCAACCCTGTCCAGAAGTCAGGGCCTATATGTAAATATTCTCCAAAATTATAGTATGAAATCTTCTCCCAGTGAATCCGAGTTTGTGGAGGAATGCATGAAATTACACACATACATTTATATTATCCAGTATCTCCATAGCCAATTGCACAACTGTTATGGTGCCTAAATCCATACGCAAGACTTCCAGTGAGTTCAATGGGAGTTTTGCCTGAGTGGAAACTTTAAGATCATAGTTATTTTATTTTCAGAAATCATGGGTTTCTCAAACACACAGTCCTGAGCAGAATAAGTTACAAATTCGATTGTGAAAATGTAAGCCCTGAACATTCCTGTAGACTTTAGATAAAAGCTAGATCATTCTGACAATGAAAACTGGCTGCTGTCCAATTATTTCCGTTAAAGCACATTCACAATGTGGACACTATGCAAATCATAGAATAGTATGAATATGCTAATATTTACAGTATTTTTCAGACTAAATCCTGCAGCCATAAACACAGTATTCAAATGTTTGCACGTAGTTTTTTTTTTCTTGAACATTCAAAAGCCACAGATGTAATGGTTTCTCTGTGCACTAAAAATCTCTGCTATTATTTTGAGATACAGGAGTATTTTAGCACAGTTTTACTTCACAGCATTTCTCACACGGTGAAGCTTTTGAATGGGGTGTAATGGATCTGGATACCTGAGTCCACTTTATTCGTAACAATGATGTGCTATCAAATAGCTGTAACCATTCCTCTGTTGCCATAGCACAGAACACAACATCCCTTGTCATAGCAGCTGAACTCCTGCCTGGAGGTGCAATGATCAAGACAATACAGGTGCTCCCTTCCTGATCAGTCAGTCCCTGTTGGTCTAAGCTTATTTGAATGATTTCTTCAGCAAACACCCATTAATGGTCTGCTAAGCCATGTCTCATTATTTCTTAACCAAGAGGATATTTTTTGGACTTTAGAAGTAGTTCAGTACCATGGTCAGCACAAAGACATCTCGAATCTATGTAACTATAAGGTGAAGTAGACAGCTAACGGATCAAGGATGTGACACTGATGGAAACAAAAGAAAGCAACAATGGAGAGGAAAATGTCTTGTCTGATGCTGATGATTTGTATGGGGAGAGCAGAGGAAGGCATTTGACTTACTGTACCACGCTTTAATCAGAGAGAAAAGCAAAGCTGTTTAAGTGATGCAGATGTAACCGAAAACATTTTGTTGTGATCTTTAACAAAAAATTATATTGCAAGCAGCTGAAGAAGCAATAAACTTTTAGCCTGGTTCAAGTGAGCATCTGGCAAATCTGCCTTCCAGCTAACAAGAGACTCGGTTACTGACTAGCTAATTTTGCCTTAAAATCAAGAGGCTGAAGGAGACAAGGTACAGGGTGAAGAAAGTGGCACATTATGTTCAGAAAGATCCATTCAGTCTTTCACCCCAGCTCCCATAGGAGGAATCTGTCTGATGATATCCCTTGCTATGATGGCATAGGCTCTGCTGTAAGGCTGATCCGCAGCACCTCTATGTACGCTCTTGGAGGGGAGCAGCAGAGACTCAATGAATCCTTGAAAAAATGCAAAAGTACCACCAGTATAGATTCGTGTGCATACTTCCCACAGAAAGAGGAAGACAGGGCCTGGATGTACTCCAAGACTCAACATTGCTTACAGTACTTACAGGATCTATTAGCTTTGAGAAAAAAATACCTTGACAGCATCAATGACTTAAAATCCATGAACATGACATCAGAAATTTCTCCGGTGTCAACGAAATCCTCCAAAACAGGGGAAAGGCCACTACACCCACTTCCTACCAGGCACTCCGCTAAGGTAAGGCCTATTGTATCTAAGCACAAGAAAATATTCTTGCCATGTGGTTACCTACCATTTGCCTTGACTGTGTAACATGTAGTTGCATAACCTCTTTTGGTTTTCTGTGTCAATGGTCTTTATTCAAGATCAAGTCCTCTTTTAAGTCCACTCTTATTGTGCCACCATTTGAAATAAAGAATAATTTAATGTTTACAAGCAGTCATACAATAGTGAATAAAGAGCGAATAAAGGTTGAGTAGTACCTGCTGAATTAAATTTGATTTTCTGTGTATCCTGGATGCAAACAGAAGAATTAAGGTATCAACCATAATCTGATGATTGTGCATGTTCCTTTAGGATCTAGATTTGACCTGATAACAGAACATTCTAAAGGAGCAGCTGACTGCTGCTGTCTCTGGGATCCTGGTGGTTTATGAGACCACAGTCAATCATGTGGGGTTTTTGTTAGTTTGAGGTTATCATTTGTGTTATTAAGTGCCACCAATTATAGCCCTCTACCAAGAAGGGGGGGACCTGGTTATATTTCATCACTTTTAGAGGTAGGGTCCAATAACAGCCTTTTTTGGAGAACAGCTGGAGTGCTTTAATAGATTAAAATGGTGACAGATGCCATTTTCTATCTTCCCAACTCTGCCACAGACCTTCTGTGTGATCTTGGGCAAGTGACTTCATTGTGCCTCCATTCCCCATGCGTAAAAAGGGGATAATAATACTTCCCTTCTGCACAGGAGTGTTGTGAGGAAAATAAACCATAAATACTTAGAAGACACTCAGACAGTACAGTGATAGGGTCATGGAAGTACCTCAATAGGTAGAGAATCCTGGAGTGGGGGGAGATGAGAACACATAGGGCCTGTAAACACATATTTAGAGTGATGTGGCGTGTGCATGAGTCGAGATTTATCTGAATGTTTTGGGGAAAATGTGCGTGAGAGCGAGAAAGAGTTGGGTGTGTATGATGTCTGGAAAATGCATCCATAAAATAATTGTGTTCAAGGCTATCACGTCAGATGGCACTTCATGGTTATCCACCTTGGTTGTTTATAGCTGTTACTGATTGGAGAGCTCAGTAATCCATTGAGATAAGTAGGAGGCTTTCTATTGACTTTGCATCAGGCCCCGTGTAAACTGCTTTGAAATTTTCTACACAGAGTACATTCTTTTATTGAACCACCATGATTTTCACTGAGCAGCCAGGTACAATGTCATCGGCAGTACTAGTTTTGTCATCGCTACAAGTTTCACTGCCTGCCACGGGGACACGGCCAGTATTAGTTCTCAATGCTCCATTCACTAGAAAGCTGCTGCTAACTAATACACTGGCAGATGCTTTAGAAACAGAAAACAAAATTTTGCACTTCACTGTCATTACGCTCAGAACTTTGAAGTAGTCTGTATGAAAGGTGCTATCTCCAACCATTTTACAGAGTAAAGAATCATACAGTTGAAAAATCGAATGCAGCCTTTCCTTTCAGTTGCAGTTTTGGATCTCATGTATCTGAACTGTTTTGTTTGCATCTGCTCAGAAATGAGGCTGATTCAGCCTGGCTTGATTCAGTTAGATACAGAGCTCCCAGCAGTGGAAAGGCTGCCTGCCAGAGTATTGTGTTCATGCAAAGTGGCCACAATCCCTCCTTTGACAGCAGAGCCACAGCTGGCCTGTGCAGGGCCCACAGTGGGTGCAAGCGGGGCAGTGTGGGGAGGGGACAGAGGGCTGACTCGCTGCATCCCTTGGGACTCTCTATCAGCAAGGCATTGACCACACTTTGAAGTCAACCTCCCATGGCAGAAGCCCTGAAGGAGAACACTGGTTCAAATGCTGCCTACCCTCCCACAAGGACAAATTCACCTTTGGATATAGTAGCTTCTGCTACTGCATAGGGGGTGCAAATTGTGCCAGTGGGGGCTGAACGAAGCCTAAAAATTTCTGGTACCAGAGACCATATTTTCTAATACTTTATGGGCCTGATCCAATGCCCACTCTGATCAATGGCAGTTTTCACATGACTTCAGTGGGCTTTGGATCAGGACCTACATTGGTATCATATTCGGTACACTGATGCTCAGTAAATAATGGAGGGGAAGAAGAATTAAGATGCATTGGCAAGGGGAGATGGAGACATTTGTAAAGAGATGAATAATCAAGGAGAGGGAAAGATCCACAATAGACACACTGAGATCTAGGAGGAGTGGGGCTTGCGCTATGCCGATGGGTGCCAGCATAAGAACCTTTTCATATGGATAAGTAGTCTAGGAATTTATGACACACCCTCCCTCTAGTTAGTTGGGGTTGGTTCCCTTTTGATTCATGGGAGATTGACAGGCACTGGGGTCACTAACTCCATTGCCATCAGTGGTAGAATTCTGGATCTACCCTTGTGTAACAGAGCAGAATTTGGCCGAGTCAACACAGTGGCAAAGGATGCAAAACACTGCCAACTACAGTAGGTACTGTAGAATAGATCTTACAGACAGAGGGTCCTTACATTTCCTGAGTGGGTTGTTATAGTGCTATGTACAATAGAAAATTCCTCTTTTTAAAAAAAAGGAACTCTGGTTTAACAAACAAATGCATCTCTCATTTTCAAAGGTCTGGAGTATTATGTCATCAGATTATAACTGACTCGTTCTTATGTATGACCAGCCTTGATTCCTGCTGGAGTGTTAACTCTACCAGCCTCCTGCTCATAAATGGATAATGTATGACATCAGCAGGATACTCTATACAGTGAGTCATTCTCACCAACACAAGCGGGTCGGTCACTGCACCGTAACACTGGCTTTGAAGAAAGGGGTTCTGAAGGACTCCGGAAGTAATCCAGAATATCACGGGTTATTTGCTTTCTAAATGGTACTTTTATTTAGTGATCACATGTTTCTTTTTAAACACAGGGATGTATTGTTTTGTACGTCACTATCTGCTTGCATTAACATTACCTTCAGTGAAAATTCGTTTCTCTTTCTCTACATGATGAGGAATTAGTAGAAATGCACTCACCAAACACTAAGGAGGTTTGGATTTGGATCTGAATGGCTGTCTCTATAACAGGCTGAACCAAAGCCTGGTTACTGAATGGTATCTGACCTTTGGGTCTGGATTCAGGCTCAAACTTTGACCCTGGGGCTCGTCCTGAGGGAAAAATAATTTGTGTCTTGGATGATATTGACAAGACATTTTCTTTAAACTGTCTTCTAACCATTAAGGGCCAGATGTAATAGCAGTCACTAGTCAGTAGGTGTGAAGTGGCTGCTTCCTTTTAGCACTCCTATTGATGCAAGTCACCCCAAAGAGGTTAGGGAGCAAAGAAGCTAGGTCAAGCTTTATTCATCCCCTCACCAGCCTATAGAGCAGAGAGCTGCATCCTTCAAAAGATATCTCGGAGAGTCAGGGAGGTAGTGTGGTAGGGACACACTGCTCTCAATGGCATACTCTGGCCTTAAACCGAGTGAGAACATAAGCAGTCCTTACTTGGGCAGAACTCCGAGGACAGTCAATGGGAGTTTTGTCTATACAGACACTGCAGTACATAGAAACTCCAAGAAGTGTTACTCTATTGTCATAACTGTTTCAGTTTTTACACACAGAAATGTTTATTGAAGAGAGATTTTTAAACCCTACTGGTTTTCATTTGGGGTTATCACCACACTATCAAATTGTCCCCCTTTAATGGCACACAAGCCTCCTTCCTCCTTAAATAGACTTTATGCACAAAGACCTCAGTTTCCACATAGGCACCAAAATAAGTGGGCAGATTTTCAGAAGAGCTCAGAATATTGAGTGCCGAGGGCTGTTTGAAACTCTACCCCTGCGTGTCAGGACACGAGATGTTGGCTGACAAGCACTTTGAAAATCTGGCCCTAGCTGTTGTGGGGGAGGGCAGGTGCTGAGTATTTGAAAATCTGGCCCATTAGTACCAAGAGGTTCAACCTGTTTGGGAGGCAGTGTCTTCTAATGGGTAGTGCCTGGGCCTGGCATTCAGGAGGTATGGGTTCTATTGCTCGCTGTAGCACTGGCCTGCTGGGTCTTGGGCAAGTCACTTTCCTTCTCCAAGCCTCAATTCCCCATCTGTAAATTGGGGATAATGATCCTGACTTCCTGTCTAAGTGCTCTGAGATCTCCTGATGAAAAGAGCAATATAAGCACTAGGTATTTGTGGACAATTCTTAGCTTGGTATGAACTATGGACTAAAGATGGGCCCAAATAAAATCAAAATTTGGGCTGTTTGGATCCAGCTGCAACTCCGCTTTGCATGGTTCTCTTATTAAGAAGTAGTTCTATATTATTCTCAATGTACTTATTTCTTACACATCTGTTCAACAGATATCAATGGAGAAAAGAGTCCCACAGCCCAATTCAGATGTAAGAGAGGCAATAGCTTTCTTGGACTCAGTGATTGCAGATCTGGATGCAGAGAGATCGCAGAAAGTTCCTGTGACAGATCTCCCAAACGTGGATGTTGACTTTGATGGTGAAGTCTATATAGTACATCTAAAATACTATTACTAAGGGAAGAGGGGTGGAGGCATGAAGGGAAAATATGTGGATCATAAAAATGTCACACTCCAATTTCTAAAACAGGTAGTCTTGTTTATAGAGCTGTTAAAAATATCAGCAGAATAGTCCTTATCTATAGGAGACTGAAATATATCTTTCTATATAGATTGATCTCTTTCCTCATTCAGAAATGGTTGGCTGATATTGGTCAACCTTATAAACCAAAAACTCACTGACAGGCACCAGTGTGCAAATATTGGATTGGGGGAGGGGTATCACTGACAATTCAATCAATACACTTATTTCAGGTTGATCCGAAAAATGAATTTCTGAAAAAAATCTGATTAATTGAAAAGTCAGAAAACAAGTAGTTTTTGGTTGAATGAAACATTGTGTTTGCTCTGACATGAAATGCTTTGTTTGGATTTCAAGCTTCTCCCTCCCCCTCTCCCCAGTTTAAAATAAAGCTAAAGGTGATTTTGAAACCAAAATTCATTTGGAATCAAACTAAATATTTTGTTTCAAAGAGGTTGAAGTGAAACATTACTTTTGGGGAAATTTGAGAGGTTCCACCCTCCTCCCCCACTACAACCGTTTGCTGAAAAGGACACAAATTCACAGAATATCAGAGTTGGAAGGGACCTCAGAAGGTCATCTAGTCCAATCCCCTGCTCAAAGCAGGGCCAGTCCCCAATTTTTGCCCCAGATCCTGAAATGGCCCCCTCAAGGACTGAACTCACAACCCTGGGTTTAGGAGGCCGATGCTCAAACCACCAAGCTATCCTTATCAGCCAACTAAAATCTGCATTTTTCACCAAGAAAAGTTTTTGTTGAAAGATCTTGCCAGCCTACCTATAAGCTAGAGAAAGTACAGAAAATTTTAGTCAGAAAGTGAAATTCAGACATTCCTAAAGTAGAAGTCATTATGGAAACTTCACTATGTTACTCAGCATTACTTCTAGAAAGGACTTAATTAACATCCTCCTTTGTCAATTACTAGCTGAATGTCAACATTCATTGGGAAGCTATTAACTAGAACTATCTTCTGTCTTTCAGTTGCTACCAGCACTCGTGAGCACAGTTTACATTCAAACTGGATTCTCCGTGCCCCCCAGAGGCACTCCCAAGATGCCTTGCACATAGAGGCAGCAAGCCAGTCTAAAAGAAACAGCCAGAGAAGAACAACTGGCTCCAGAAAGAGACTGGAAAGATATCCAATTTATTTACCCAAAGCAGTGGAAGGGGCATTCAGCACTTTAAAATTTAAACCAAAATCATGTAAGAAGGACTAGCCCCAGCTGGAAGATAGATAGCTATATGAAAAGCTAGAATGTGTAGCAGTTACTTCTCTTGGTAAGCTCTGGCCCACCCAACACTGCAGCAGGTACATAACAGTGCATGTTAACTGAAGGCTTTTTATGCTGTTTGTATTGTGAGCCATGGCTATTCCAGGTTTGCAGTGACAGTGGAGCATAGCTCATTGAGTTCACGGTGCCTAACAATACTGCTTTATCATTGGGTGCGGGGGAAGCGCCAACTTGGCAAGTGTTTTCCAGTGTTATTGGAAGCAATGATTTCAGCATTGCCTGGTGCAGTCATCTCTCTCCTGGCTCTAGTGCTACAAAGCAGTTCTATTGATCTTTGGTGAATATTTGCACCAGGAGTTCCAATTTCAGGGCAGCGAAATGGACTTTCCTCATCTTTGCAGCAGAGGATTTAGTGTGTGCCATCATCAGTCCCATGACCCGAGAGCACGCAGTGGCACCAACGAGAGGCTGTGGAGAAGGCAGCCTTGAAAGGGCCTTAAAAATAACAGCAATAAGAGCATCAGCATGAGCAGGGATGTGTTGAGACAATTCTCTCACTGTGTGCTAGAAAAGTCAAGAAGTTCCTGTACTCTGCTCTCTGATGGAAACTGTTTTGATGTGGGAGAAGCACAGAAGCTTCCTTGCAGGTGGAGATTTGTGCAATTCTTTTCATAGGTTACAAAAAATAAAATAAAAATTCCTCAACCATATATTTGAATATCCCAGATGCTGATCAAGCCTTACCTAGATGATGGGAATTTAAAACATTTATATGCACTCCTATAGGTGTGTAATATCTTTGAACAGTAGCATTTGTGAACAAACAGGACATGGACTACTCTCTAATCCGGGGGGGGGGGGGGGGGGGGGAGGAAATCATGAACATAAAACATAAATCCTAGCACATCAGCACTAGTTTACACCCATTACCTGGACATCTGTGTTCATTAAGACCTCCAGTAAACACTGGAAAAAACCTGTACTATAGAGGTGCTTCTAAGAAGGTGCTTTTACCTTAGTCATGCTACATAAGCCATTTGGAATTTTTATGACATACAGTATGCCTATTTCTCTAACGAATAGCGAAGTAAAACCTCATGGACTACACTGAAGCATTCCCACCATGTTGCACTGGCTGTTTGGACCAGGCACTGCCATTATGAGTCCCTAGTTTTTGTCTGAACCTCATCCAGGTTAAAGTTGACTTTCTTCAGAATCTGAAAGAAAAGCAAGTTAGAGAAAGTCTATTTTGCTCCAGTGTCTTTTCTTTCTATTGGCCTTCAGTCAGTACTGATCCTTGGTGCATGGCTTATTGGACATGAAATTTACTATTTTAACTGTGTCTGCAATGGGCTACACTCACCTCTCATGAGCACCTGTTGGCCAAGTGCGTGTGCCTGCACTCTCTCTCTCTCTCTCTCTCTGTCTTTGTGGTGGGTCTTTGCTGACTCAGCCCTCCAGCCAAGTCTCTCACACACACAATCTGTGAGTAAAAGCACAGCAAACCCCTTCTGGGGTATAAGTCCAACAGGGGCCTCTCTCAGTAACATCTCTCTCAAGTTGTCCCTGCTCTGGTATAGAGCAATGCCCCAGGGCTCCCTCCCTGGAGGCAATATCTTCACCCTCTCAGGTCCTTTCTGGCCACAGCTCTCAAGCTGGCCAAAGCAGTTCAGTTGTCCTTCTAGGGTGTATCAAGGTCCAGGCCACTTTCCCAGTGGCTGGTGGGGGTGCAGGGTGGTCCCAGCCCAGGGACCCTATAGATAGCAGCTGTGCCATGTCCCTTTATCTAAGCCACACTGCTGCTCTAATTCCCTGGGCCACTTCCCCATGGGTCCAGTACATTCTTCACCCTTACCTCAGGGCCTTGTCCTGGTGGAGTCCCAGCAGCCAGCCCAGAGCTCCTTCACATTCCCCCAGGGTTCTGCCAGCATTACTCTAAGCAAGCAAGCAAGCAAGCAAGCAAGCAAGCAAGCAAGCAAGCCACACTCCTCCTACTCTAGCAAAGAACTAAACTCTCTCTGGCCCTGCAGCTCTTCTTATACTAGCCTGTTGGTTCCTGATTGGCTGCTTCTGACACAGCTGCTCTAGGCAGCTTGAAGGATTTCTCTACTGCCCTTTTCTGGGGTAGGGTGTGGCAAGGCCTCAGGCCTCCAGCAGGGGGCCTCCGGACCTAGTTCACCCTGTCACAGTGTCCCTTGTGAATTGGGAAGGTACTTTGCACAACTCCCTGCCATTTCTATGTTCAGCATTTCTGCTATACAAGGGACTTGGGTAAAGATCCAGAGGCAGGGACTGCTGAATTAATCAGTTTATTGCATTGTAACCTTCATGAGCATCATGCATGCTGTACTGTAACATTTACTAGACAGCAAGTGTTATAGATCTGCATTTCTATTGCTTCTTGACAGACTTACTTGACCAGGATTCCTGCCACTGGCTAAACATTCTTCAGATCTTATTGAGTTAGGATGGTGTTCTTCACCTGATAGGAGAGTGCCAAGGAATCAGCTGTTCACTGCTGACACCTGCTGATTGAATAACATCCTTTGTTTTTCTTTCTAATGATATTCATGAACTGCGTTTGCTTCTGTTACACTTCAATTTTACATGTTGTTCCTCTACATTCAGCTTAGCCTGTAGTCCTGCCCAATCAAGCAACATAAATTCTGCTAACATCATCCAGAAAGTCTGATGCCATGTTGAAGCAATAAATTGGGGTATAAATGTTGCCTGTTGCTCATAGACTATAATGGTAGAAGCAACCATCATAATCATCTAGTCTGACCTCCTGCATATTGCAGGCCACAGAACCTCACCCATCTACTCCTGAAATAGGCCCAGAACCTCTGGCTGAGTTAGTGAAGTCCTCAACTCTTGATTTAAAGACTTCAAGTTACAGAGAGTCTAGCATTTACTCTAGTTCAAACCAGCAAGTCACCCATGCCCCAAGTTGCAGAGGAAGGTGAAAAAAGCCCCAGGTTTTCTGCCAGTCTGACCTGAGGAAAAATTCCTTCCCGACCCCAGATATGGCAATCAGTTAGACCCTGAGCATGTGGGCAACCTACCAGTCAGACACCTGGAAAAGAATTCTCTCTTGTAACTCAGAGCCATCCCCATATAGTGTCCCATCTCCAGCCATTGGAGATATTTGCTAACAGCAGTCACAGATTGGCTACATGCCGTTGTAGGCAGTCTCATCATACCATTCCCTCCATAAACTTATCAAGCTCAGTTTTGAACGTATGGAAACCAGCTAGATTTTTTGCCCTTACTGCTCCCTTTGGAAGGCTGTTCCAGAACTTCACTCCTCTGATGGTCAGAAACCTTCGTCTAATTTCAAGCATAAACGTAATTGATGGCTAATTTATATCCATTTGTTTTTGTGCCAACATTGGCCCTTAAATAACTCCTTTCCCTCCCTGGTGTTTATCCCTCTGATGTATTTACAGAGCGAAATCATAACTCTTTCACTTTGTTAGGCAAAACAAGCCAAGCTCCTTATATCTCCTCTCAAAAGGTAGAAATTCTCAATTCCTCTGATCATTCTAGTAGCCCTTCTCTGCACCTATTGCAGTTTGAATTAATCTTTTTTAAACATGGGAGACCAGAATTGTACACACTATTCCAGATGAGGTCTCACCAGTGCCTTGTATAACGGCAATAACACTTCTCTATCCCTGTTCAAAATACCTCACCTGATGCATCCTAGGATTGCATTAGCCTTTTCCATGGCCACATCACATTGGTGGCTCATAATCATCCTGTGATCAACCAATACACCCAGGTCTTTCTCACCCTCTGTCGCTTCCAACTGATGCCTCCCCAGTTTATAACAAAAATTCTAGTTGTTAGTCCCTACTTATATGACCTTGCACTTTGCACTATTAAATTTCATCCCATTTCTTTTACTCCAGTTTTAAAGGTCATCCGTATCTTCTTGTATGATATTCCAGTCATCCTCCATATTGGCAATACCTCTCAACTTTGTGTCATCTGTACATTTTATTAGCACTCTCCCACTTTTTGTGCCAAGGACTGTAATAAAAATGTTAAATAAGATTGGTTCCAAGATTGATCCTTGAGGAACTCGTCTAGTAACCTCCCTCCAGACTGATAGTTCACCTTTCAGCATAACCCGTTGTAGTGTGTCCTTTATCCACCTTTTAATTCTCATATTAACCCCCATTTTCTATAATTTGATAGTTTCCCATGTGGAACTGTATCAACTGCTTTACTAAAATTCAGGCAGATTAGACCTACTGCATTTCCTTTGTCTAGAAAATCAGTTATCTTCTCAAAGAAAGAGATCAGGTTGGTCTGGCACGATCTACCTTTTGTAAAACCATGTTGTATTCAATCCCAATTACTGTTAACCTCTGTCTTTAACGACTTTCGCTTTCAAAATTGGTTCTAATACAACTGAGGTTAAACTAACAGGCTTGTAGTTTCCCAGATCACTATTTTTTTTTCCTTTTAAAAATATAGATACTAGATTTGGAATTCTCTAGTCATAGGGTACAATCTCCACGTTTACGGAGTCATTACAAAATCCTTGCTAGTGGGTTTACAATGTCATGTGCCTTTAATATTCTTGGATGGAGATTATCCAGGATCCCCAATTTGGTCCCATTAAGCAGTTTGAATTTGGCTTCAGCCTGGGATGTGGTAATTTTTACTTCCACATCCTTGTTCCTATTAGCCACCCTGCCATTGCCCCCAAGCTCCTCATTAACCTCATTAAAAACTGAGCCAAAGCATGCATGTAGGTTTTGGGCCATGCCTAGATTATCTTTGATCTCCACCCCATCCTCAGTGTTTAGTGGTCCCACTTCTTATTTCCTTAGATTTATATATTGGTTTTAATTTCCTTTGCAAGGTCCAACTCTGGTCAGCTTTTGGAAGTTCTTATCTTTTCCCTACACTTCCTGACCTCCAAGAAGTAGCTTTCCTTGCTGAACCATCCCTTCTACCATTCCTTTTAGGCT